CAACTCGTCATGGAGTTGGACGTTTCCGGAGCCAGAGCGACGAAGGGCGCTTGGGGCCACCGATGGACCCTCGAGGTGATGTCGGCGCGGCCTGGCACAGACACACCCGGTGTGGATCAGGCCCCTCTTCCAAGAGGGAGGCCCCTGGGTCCTTAACCGATCCTTGCATTAACACCAACTGGAGTGTACAGAAGAACAGCACCCCACAGGGCTCCCCCAAAGACACAGCGTCTTCAACGCTTAAACAAGCAGAAGCTAAGTGGACCCGTCCATGCACTTCCTGAGGCGCGGGCTACATCAACCCCACAGCACTGACAATATTCCTGGGAAATCGCTGCAGAGTGAGTCCGTAGGAAGCACTGGGGTAGCCGGTGACGCCACCCATGAATACGCGCATTGTGCGGAGCAGATGCGGCCAGGGCGCAACATTCATAAGTGGGGTGGGCAGCAGAACTTTCACTGACCATAAGCAGTTCACATTCTAGAATTTGCCATGGGCTGAGTATCAACTTCCAGTGAGAAAAATAAAAACTGAAGTTGGAAGATAACATACTGCCGTTCACTTTTCAACGGAGTTAACCTCTGTTTCAACAGTCCGCCTTCTCTGTACCCTTTTCTCGCGGCGAGTGGGCTCCACCACGCAGACCCCAAATGCGCCAGGGCGCGCCTGACTGGTAAGAACCAGCCGGATGGAGCTGCACATTTCGATTCCTCAATTGCTAAGAAGCATAATCATATCTTCCTCTTTTCCCCTGCTGCAGGTTTCAACTTGAATCCAAAAGTACCTCTAATGCCCATTCTTCATAGGAGGGCGTTCGAAGGGGGCAGAGTCTCCACTTAGGATTGCTGTGTGCGCGTTTAGGTGGACAGACTTGGATAAACGCGTGTCCACGTCTAAATCACACATCTGTGCAAATGCAGGAACCTGCGGATGCGCGGGTCTGGTCGGATTTAGTGTGCAGACACACGGGCGCATGCACACGCGCGCGTGCGCGCGCTCACACACACTCACATCCCAAATTACCTCCGGGATGGAAAAAATCGCTTCGGATTGGCCAACAGAGCCGTCACTCACACCCAGGGGGCAGGGAGACTTCGCCAGGCAGTTTCTTTTCTCTTTTCTCCCTACCGTCTCATTTAATGTTAAAACAACAGGCAGACCCTGAAAGTTAGCCATCTACGCAGGGAGTCTGCCTCCTTCAAGGCGGGGAGCATCAAACGGTCTCTACTTAAATATATCTCCTACTTTCACAATGGTCGAAAAGGGAAATTAGCAGTCGGGTGAGGCAGCTCCATGTAAGGAGGAGGGGGTCATCCGGGAGGGGTGGACGCCGGTGAAGAGTTGTTCTCACACCCAGAAAGGACTTTGACCTTTCATTGATTTAGAAATTTTTTAAAAAAAAAAAATGTTTTTCACAGGTCAGATTATAACACACGCTCATCCCTAATTTTTTAGCTCATTATTTTATTTTTATTATTTAAGCATGCGCCACAATCATGCTTCCTTAAGAAAGAACTGACCTATTTTTGGCTGGAGATGAACGACCATGTTAACAGATGTTAATCTTGTAATCTGTTTTTCCTGTAAGCACTTTACATACCCGGGTTTCAGACCTTAAAAATAACATCTTTTCCAAAAAGACCTGACGTCACAATTCACAGTGAAAAATCACACTCCCTCTTCCAATTTTTTTCCCTGCAATGATTTCAAAGACATTAAATCTTTTTCACTTTATAAATGCTGATTTGTTCTGCCTCAACTCCCACAGGCTTTTATTTGCATTTCAAATTCCACAGGTTACACCAGTCGCCTTTTCAAAAAATGTAAACCAACAATGAAGCAGCAAATGGCTTTTTGTGCATCTGGATTAAATAAGGCACAGAATGAATATGTTTAAAAAGAGGGCTGTGCAAGTTGATCTTTGCACACCCGGAGACCAAGTGACTCTTTATCAGTAAGCCAGCGGAATGAGTGAGATACAAACACAGCCCCAGAGCTCCTGGGCTGATCCTGGTCTGCTGCGGGAAGCTTATTAACTTCAGTAATAAATGGGGCTGACTTACAGACCCACATTTTTCGTGTTAAAGGCTGGTTCTCTTGGGTCTCTAATTGCAGCGATCCACTAGCTTCCTAGGTCACAACGCCCGATTGTCACCACACACCAACCTTCCTCCATAAACCGCTGGTTTAAATACCCCACTCGGCTGGCTTTTAAACTTATTCATAACAAAGTTTCTTTAAAACTTGACGAGGTGGTTTAATCTAAACACCGATCGTAACTATTCTCCCTGAAAATGGCAGAGAAGGTGTCTTTCCAACCCCCGCCCCCACCCCGCCAACGCACATCCCACTGCACCCTTCTCTTACACACCCGTGTGTGTGTGTGTGTGTGTGTGTGTGTGTGTGTGTGTATCGCCATCGATATTCCCCTACCCCCACCCCCCACCCTTCTCCGACCTCAGCAAGACTCGGCTCCTCTCCGAGGAGTCCCTGCCCCCCAGGTCCCTTCCCCACCCCACTCGGAGTCACGGAGAGAAGCTCGCCCCCGCCCCCACCCCTGCCCGAACTTCCCTTCCCCGAGCTCCCACTTCTTTAATGTTAGGATCACTCAAAAGCTCCGGGCTGATGGGCAGGCAGCAGGGGAGAGGGCAGTAGGAACAAACCACCACCACCACCACACCACCACCACTACCTCCCGCCCCCCCGCAAACATGTCCCTTAGGCAGCAGCGCTCAGTGCCCACAGGCATCGATCCCATCCGCCAAACCCTTAATAATTGAAGCGGCTCCTCGG